GGGTGTCCTTCAATTTTTGCTTGATCGCTCATTCGAATCTAGTTTGATCAGTTCAAGTCTGCTTCGTGTGTTTGCATCCCCACGTATTTCCAACAAATCCAAGGATAACAATTCGTTTTTCAATAAAAAAAAAACTTGGGAAAATATTGAAACGAAAAGAAAATAAAAAAAAAATAAAAAGTTTGTGGAGAGTTCTTTTTATTTTCAATCAGACCAGTGGGGATCGGAGTTCCTGCCACACGTACGTCAGTTTGCAAAGCATACCAGTACACCGGAGGGGTATAAAATTAAATTTAACGCTTCAAAGAAGAACTATTTGATTTAAAAGTCGTGCTCTTCCGCGAACCAAATGACTCGCGCGATCAGTTCTCCCTCTTTATAAGAACTAATAAAAAAAGAGGAGAAAAAAAAAAAGAAAAAAAAATTTTAATCCAAAAAGAAGGGGTTGTAAAGTCGAAACTGAAAACTCCAGTTCTGGTCGCTATATACCGCGATCCTAACTCGAAAACAAAAACCCCGAAACCCTCGCAACGTGAAAATCCAGTGTATATATGTATACGGACACACGATGTACAAGTATAACACTGTCCAAACGCAAATCTCGTCTCGCGGGCGCCACGAAAAACACGAATTGCCGAGGCTAACCAACACTCCGGGGGAGGGGGAGCAACATCAATATATATATTATATATTCCACCCCTTGGGCGCCCCTCGATATACACATGTCCGAGAGATAAACTTTGAATGAAACTAAACCATGGCTATTTGTACAACGTCGTCAAACCTCTCTGATCCATCTCTCTCTCCCATCTGCTACCCCATCCGAGAGCCGGATTTCAATTAATTCAACCGTCAATCCCCCCCTGCCCGAAACATACACACCAACGAATCCATACTCGCGCGCACACGCCTCCTTTTCGAGCATTGAGTATTGAGTGACAAAGAAGAAGATAAAGAACAATACCTACAATACAACATCACAAAAAACAGAACAATAAAAAAAAACGCACATCTTTTTCATCGTCCTCAACGCGGAGCGATTCTCAACCCCTTCGAGCCTCCGAGCAATACACGTCTCCACCACCCCTGCATCGTAACGTCAAAAAACACGTATAATGCACATGTGATATAATTATACAGTATACATGTATATATAATTATACAGTTAGCTTGAGGCATTGTAATAGTGTGTTTGTTCGTTGTTTTTTCCATTATTTATTTACTTTCAAAATTTTAGTCAATTTTTTTTTTTAATTATTCATGCATGCAGGGAATTATAAACACACAGCGCGAATGCAAAACCCTTACACGTACATGTATAGGTAATGACAAAACATCCGTGTGCGCTTGTAAAAATGCAAGGATAAGGCAGTGGTGTACATACATACATATAAGGGTCGAGTCAAGCTTGCTTGCATGCATGCACTTTTGGCGAATGGGTGATGACTGAGCTTTTATTCCCTCTGTTACCACTCCCCTCTGTACCGCACGCATACTCGCGCCCCTGGCAAATCCCCGCGTGTTCTCTCGCTCGATTTACCTATAAGCCAGAACTTCTATTCGCCGGCCCAGCCGGATATGTATACACATGCATGGATGTGTCCGGAGAGGAAAGGGAAGTAGGGAAGAGCAGAGATGGAGAGGCCATCAGACGTGGGGATTTAAATACAATAACCCGAGGCGATTGGACAAATATGCGGGAAAACGGGGTATATATGTATATATACGGTGTACGGAAAATCGAGGAAATGTGTGTGTGATGTAGGTACGACCGAAAATGCATTCCGTATACATATATATATATATATATATATGTGTATGGTAACGAGTAAATGGCATCAAAAACCAAACCGGTGGCTGGGAGGCCCCGATCTCTCGTGCATTATACGCTTGGATGTTATATTTATGTGCTTGGCTATACTTACACGTACAACATCTCGTATACAAATGGGTGCAGCTGAATTAAAAGGTTTTTTTTTTTTTTTTTTTTTTTTTTTACCTTGTTTTTGTTTGGCCTTTTTTTCAGCTAAAATATTTATAATAATGTAGTGAATACCAATGTAATCTGCATTTCTGATTTTTTTTTTCTTTTTTTTTAACTATTATAGAATCTAAAAAAAAAAATTTCATCGATCGAATGGATAGAAAATTTTAATTTGTAAGGAATGAAGAATTTGTTTTGATGACAATTATATATAAACTTTTTAGTCTCTGGTAGAAATTTCATCAGTTCTGCCATGGATAACAGCTTACTTTTTTTACATAAATTTAAGAACTACTGAATAATATCTATAGTACTTTTGCATTATATTGCAACTCCTAGGAGCAAGAGAAAAACAAAAAACAGTGAATTTAATATCCTTACTACTATTTAAAAGTACTTGCTTGTGTATGACAATATTGCATTCATCTATAAACTAAATTAATCGTCAAAAATATCATTATTTTATTATATTATAATAGTATATACACTTAAAAGCATTTAATAAAAAAAAACGCACATCTTTTTCATCGTCCTCAACGCGGAGCGATTCTCAACCCCTTCGAGCCTCCGAGCAATACACGTCTCCACCACCCCTGCATCGTAACGTCAAAAAACACGTATAATGCACATGTGATATAATTATACAGTATACATGTATATATAATTATACAGTTAGCTTGAGGCATTGTAATAGTGTGTTTGTTCGTTGTTTTTTCCATTATTTATTTACTTTCAAAATTTTAGTCAATTTTTTTTTTTAATTATTCATGCATGCAGGGAATTATAAACACACAGCGCGAATGCAAAACCCTTACACGTACATGTATAGGTAATGACAAAACATCCGTGTGCGCTTGTAAAAATGCAAGGATAAGGCAGTGGTGTACATACATACATATAAGGGTCGAGTCAAGCTTGCTTGCATGCATGCACTTTTGGCGAATGGGTGATGACTGAGCTTTTATTCCCTCTGTTACCACTCCCCTCTGTACCGCACGCATACTCGCGCCCCTGGCAAATCCCCGCGTGTTCTCTCGCTCGATTTACCTATAAGCCAGAACTTCTATTCGCCGGCCCAGCCGGATATGTATACACATGCATGGATGTGTCCGGAGAGGAAAGGGAAGTAGGGAAGAGCAGAGATGGAGAGGCCATCAGACGTGGGGATTTAAATACAATAACCCGAGGCGATTGGACAAATATGCGGGAAAACGGGGTATATATGTATATATACGGTGTACGGAAAATCGAGGAAATGTGTGTGTGATGTAGGTACGACCGAAAATGCATTCCGTATACATATATATATATATATATATATGTGTATGGTAACG